TTTCCTTCTCTCACTTTCTCATTCTTCATCATTTTGTGCCTCCTTCAGACAGACAGATTCACTCGACCATTAACGGGTTTTGTTTTTGTTTGCTTTGAAGGGGTTGCCAATGATGTGTTCACGTTTTGAAGGTATGAGAAAGTGTCGGTGATTTGCTAGCCATTGTCTGTGCCAAGTGCCAAGTGCTGCTGGTCAGTATCTATCTGCGTGCTGAACGGGTCTTATACTCGAGGACAAATGTGATTAATCATTGGATTGAGATTCGTTCGTGCCGTCGATGGTAAAAAAGGTGTTTTTAAAAGTTCAAACTGTAAAATGCAAAATTTAAAAACAGATGACAAACCGATTTTTTGGCTGTGAAACTTTCTCAAGCAACGCACTTTAAAAAGCATTTCTCATTTTATTTTAGTACTTGTACATCTGTCTGGCTCTTAACAAAGTCTCATACATTTTGCCTCTGTTCAGGAAAAGAGTAAAGTCGTAGTGCAGTTCACGTTCAGTCAAAAAATAAAAAATTTCAAGGTTAAACCATTGACTTTCAACATTGTGCGTCTTCGGACAACTTTTTGGTTAATTTGCCCTGTCGTTTTTCTGCTGTACAGTGCGTTGTGCAGTGTATGTAAATGAAGCCACTAAAAAAACTTCCACAAAATCTAAAGTAGTCAAACGAATATTATAAAATATCATCATGATGGAAATATCAACAGCCATAAAAGTAGACGATAAAATAAAAACCCTTGTATAAAGTAGAATAGTCAATTTTTATAAAAAAAAATTGAAAAATTTTACTGTTCAAGTGTATTGCGCTCAATAGAGGACATAAAATGTTAAACAGTTTGCGTGGAAAAGATTAATAAATTAAATAACATAAATAAAAACTTTTTGTATAAGCATAAGTTTATTTAACAACTCTGTAATAAAATGGTGTTTACAGAAACTAAGTTAAACTTTAAATTGAATTTAAGTTAAATATTTTGTATAACTGTATCATCATAATAGAAATTATAAATGTACTATAATTAGCATTTAACAATTTTCAGTATTCCTGTAATTATCAGTAGACAGGCATTAATTTTCAACCCCTAAAGTACCAAGTTAAAAGCAAAGAAACAGACTAAGCAACTCATGACAATGGAAACAAGAAAAAAACTGTGACATTGGATGCGTGCTTGCTTCGTTGTTGCCTGCACTGGTCGCCACAGGTCCGACTTTCATGGTAGTTGCTTTGCTGTCAGTCTGCAAATGCGAATAAACAAAAACAAAAATTAATCGAAACTGCAGTAACTAACTGGCGCCAGATAGTGCAACAACAGCAGTAAAGACAGCGAAGACTGGACAGCAGACAGACACAGAAGAAGGTTTTCATTATGAATGCGACAATCCATAAATGAATAACTACAGCTACTTGCTGTCGCGTACACAAAAGCTGAAAATAGCATTTAAATTGACAGTAGTTAGCTCACTTTTATGGCAAAGCGTCCGAAACAAGACTGTAAAATATGATGAATTTTCAGAAGTAAACTTTTGCTTATTTTTAAAATACCCTGTAGTTTAGAACGCCTTGTTGTTTGAAAGAAAAAAGAAAACAAATGCACTGAAGCAAACTGCCGAAAGATACAGGCGAGATGCGAAGAATGAAAAAATAAAACAAGAAAGCAATGAAAACAGACAACAAAAAAATCAAAAGAAAAACTACTACAAAACTGCAAAACTAGTTTTTAAAATGTTAAAAACAACAGTTTTTTGTTTTAATAAAATGCATTTTAACAATCAATTAAAAGTCAAAAACAGTTTAGGTTCTATCTTAAAAAACAACAAAAAACTGTCAAAACTAGCAGAATTAATTTACATTAGAAATTAGTTATCTAGAAGAAAATAAATAAAAATGGCAATCTAGCTTTAGGAACGTCAACTATGGTAAACTTTGTTATGAAAAAAGTACAAAAGTTGTCGCAGACATCACGTTGTGATCGAAACGGAGCCAAATTTATCATCAGCGAGAAACATTTAACGGCAACTGCAAAAAATAAAGTCCATTTTGGCGATTGAGATCTAACAGCAACAAACTCGGTGTTATTGAAGTACACCCAGAGTACAATTTTAAAAAATGAAATGAATATGATAAATAAAAATTGAGATTTGGCTTCAAGATTACATAAGACGAACAATTTTGTTTTATTTTACTATGTTTTCAGCTTATTTTGCAAAAACGGACCTTTTGACTGATTAGTGATCACGCTTTTATCAACAAGCTGAACATGTGAATTTTGTAAAACATGGTAAAAATAGTTATTAAGTTTTTTACCATTACTAGTTTATGCTTGAGTTCAACTGGTCGGTGATATAAACAAACTTGAAGATTATTTAAAGTTTTGAATGTAAATTGTATTTTAATAGTTCTTAATGAAATAAAAATTACAGCACAAAAATATAAAACAAGGAAAAATTAATAGGAAAAAAACGCAAAACAAAAACAAATACTGAAAAACTTTGAAAAGTTTAATAAACGACCAGGTCATTAAAAACAAAATGAACAATAGAATATATAACAATACTAGCAATTGCCTGGTCGGAAACTAGTCAATCAACATCTGAATCAGGTGGTTGTTCCTCAGGTTGAATATCGTATGAATCGATTTCCGAAACTGAATCAACTATTGGATATAGCACAGGAGAACGACTAGGGGTAATGCAAGTTGCTCGAAGGTGAGATTGGAACGTTTGTAATTTTGATTGAGCGCTTAACCGTGGTGCCATTGAAGAACTGCAGTAAAAAGAAGATCGCTCAGAGATTGTGGATGAGACCACAGAGATTCTATCTTCCTCAATAGGAATGCCGTCAGTAAAGTCTGGATGTGTCCCAATAAACCGAGACATAAGCAAAGTGTTATAATTTGAGTGAGTATTTCGTTTTTGCTCGAACGCAGAGTGGATATGGTTAGTAGAGTTTTTAGAGCGGCAGCATGAATTCTGTTTTAGAGTATGAGCCAATCCGTTTTGGTTTTTCAGTGTGATTCTGTTAGGTTTTTTGAAGATGAGGCAAATGATGAAAATTATATTCAAAGTGACACTCAACATGAAGAGAAGGTCGTAAAGTTGCAGGTTTATGAGGTAAAATGGCTGATTTTTCCAATCGGAAGCAGGTTTCAGAGGAACCAAATACTGAGAGTTTTCCATAAAGAATGCCAAACCGAATCCAAGAATAATGAAACACCGTTTCCAAGGAGAGTTTTGTTGATGCAAGATATTGTAAACTGTTAAAATATAGTGTTAGTAAAAGAAAGATCCTAATAATAATTTAATACCTTGAATACTGACAAAATAAACAGCAATAGTCCATAAAAGAACTTGTGCTATCTTATTCAGAGGTAGATGGAATTTAGATATTTGAAATAACCAATTTGTGTTTGAGGAGAACAAATCGGCCAATTCAAATTTTATTTTTAAATCTCCCAAATCAGCGTAGCTGCCTTTGTTTATGTCAGTAAATGCTTCTTCCGGAGTTTTGCCTTTGTGGAAATCATTTGCAAGCTGATTTTTAATGGCACTGAGTTCTGGGTAGTTGACCAGATTGAACGTGTAGAGCAAATTAGCAAGCACAGCGTAATAAGAAATCGAGGAATACATGATGGTGCTAGATGTTTAACCCGATTCGGGTTCCAGAAAATAGATTACATTTTTCAATCACATGTGCATTCTGTGAGTGCGTTGTATTATTTTTTATTTCTTGAAAACAAAACATTGTCGTCTACAAAACGCCCTCTGTGAGATTTAAAAATTACTATCGAAAAAAATATATTTAAAAGTTCCTATTTTGACTCAAGTCGAAATAGAAAAACTGTTGTCAAAAATCAAATGAATCTCATGTGGCGGCGATTTAAAGCCGTTGTGAAACGGTTTATCTAATTGTTTATTTGAGATTTTAGTTTTAAAGTAGATTTTAAATAAGTAAGCATGCTGATCGCCAAGTTATACAATGATCTCACGTATTGGAAAAAGGCAAGTTATTCTAAGAGTGTAAAACGTGTATATAATCTTTCTAATGTTACAATGTTTTTTTCAGTCCACCTACGAAAACTTGCGAACTTATGATTGTAGTGACAACGAAGCTTTTTACGAAAATGATTCATCAAGTAGTCTATCATTACCGGAAAGTTTTTACTCTGATGATGATGATATTTATGACGATCTGCCAGTTTCGCCGGTTTCAGCAAAAGCTCCAAAATCAGATCATTCAGATAATGATGATGATGACAAGTCAGACAACTCATCGTTTATTATGTACAAGCGTAAGGCTAAAAGGTAATCATTTACTGCCAAAAGTTAACTTTTACAAAGAGATTATTGTTTTCGTTTTTCAGGAAAAAAAGATCCAAAAGAAGAAATCAGTTCATTTTGGATGAAGCCGATGATGATGAATATGGCGAGGACAGTGACGATGATGAGCTTCAGAATACACAGTCAGAAGACCACAGTTTGCGCAGTTTTATTGACGATGGAGAGCCGGAAGAGGACGACGAAGATGTTCACATCAATTACATGCGCTCAGTTACTGACGTAGTAAATGGGCAAGGAAAGTATAAGCTCAAATACGACTATGATCCAAACATTGAAGTCTATTCGCAATTTCCAAGCACTCAGGAAATCGAGGAAGACGAATACGACCAAGATGATAGTTTTATCTGCGAAGAGATTGTCTACAGCAACACACAGGCTCCCCCAGTTAACATTTCATCGCCTCGAAGACTGCGCTCACGAAAAGTCCTGAAAGGCTACAAACGCAAGGAAAGCACTCCAGTTTTGGAGAAGCCGAAAAAGCGCTACCGAAGAGTCTTCATTGAAAGTCCTTAAAAGTCGTTTTGCACGCAACCTGTATTTCAAGAGAATGAACGGCAGAGATGCATAATTATTTTTGTATGTAAATTAGCTCATAGCATTTTAAATATAAGTCAATAAGGTGTAGTAAACAAAGTCCAATGGATTGCATGACATTGTGAATGTTAGTAGAGTAAAATTCGCTTCTCAATGGTGTTTCGGCAGATTGGACAGGAAGTCATGCGATCGCCGCACATCTGACAGACGCCATGACCACAGAGGAAGATCATGTTCTTGAACTTGTCCAGGCACACTGGGCAGATTGTCTGCTCTCTGATGTCCTGCAGCTGCTCCTGTAACTTCTGTATGTCATTCGGAGATGTGCTGGTAGTGGCGGTGGAGCTTTTCGAGGTGTTTAGTCGTCCTCCATTGCTGTGCTGGTTGGTCGTCTTGAGATTCGTGTTGATGCTAATGCTGGCAGAGTTGTTGGCCACAACGTTGTTGGCATTGTTTGTATTGTTCACATTCGCATTGGAATTATTTGCAGTATTATTTGAGATTGGAGGCAATCCACCGCAACAAGTGTAAAAGGAGAGAGCTGCGAGTCGGAGGTGGAATAAAGATGATTAGAAGAGGCAAAAAACTTTCCCACTCGAATGCACACTTACTCTGATCGATTGTCTGTCGACATTGAACACATTTCTTCATAATAGAAGCACAGCCTTCACAGGCACACATATGACCACAGGGCTGCAGAATCAACCATTAGAGTATGCTCAATCACTGCAGACCATCACTTACTTTAAAGAGAACCGACACTTTCTTCTCCGAGCAGACAATGCACTCCTCAATTTTGGTTCGCGTCTGGATAACCTCTTTACAGATGAAGCACTTTTTCACCCTTGAAGCACACAATGAACAGGTAGCAATGTGTCCACAAGGGCCAAAGAGAGTGTCCCGCTTGTTATCAGAGCAGACCATACATTCAGTGAGCGACTCGGGCTCATCTGAGACAGTACTTTGCTGCTGTGGACTTGTCTGGCTACTGTTTGGGGAGCCACTGTAAAGCAAAGCCACTGTTAGCATTGACAGACCCCAAATGTTTACCGGTTCTCTTACCAAATATCTTTCTGGCACTTCTTCAGCGCCTCAAGGAGATTCGGATCAGGACAAAGATTTAGCGGTGTTTGATTCTTCTTGTTCTTCAAATTGAGATCGCCACCATTTGAGACCAAAAAGCAGGCAATGGCGGCGCTGCTTTTCTTATCAGATCCTTGAGCACCCAAGCCCATGAGCAGCTACACCACAGTGAAGAAAAATGGGTTACCACAAAAACTATGATGGGGCCTTTACAATAGAAGCAAACCTTTCCAATGTCTTGCACATCTTGAAGCTGCCGGAGTTGCGACAGTGTGTGATGCCGGAGAGCTTCATGAAGAGGTGTGTCTCCATCCTTGTCAGGTATGTTAATATTGCAGCCTTCACGGACTAGAAGCTGAATATGTAAGAAGTTATTAGAAGTTAGTTTGCTGGCACCTCTGCAAGCACATACCCTAACAATCTGCGTATGCTGTCGCTCCACTGCCAAGTGCAACGGCGTTTGCATGTTCACATTCTGCAAGTCCATATTCGCCTTGCCAATCTGCACCAACAACTCGGCCACTTCAGTGTGGTTGTTCAGTGCCGCCAAATGCAAGGCTGTGTAGCCGTCGTCCTTCTTCTCGTCGACAATCCACGACCGAGGCAGCTTGGTCAGTATGGTCCGCATTGCACTACACAATAACAATTTGGGATGAATTGACCAGTCAGTCCAGTCACTCTCCNTCGTCCTTCTTCTCGTCGACAATCCACGACCGAGGCAGCTTGGTCAGTATGGTCCGCATTGCACTACACAATAACAATTTGGGATGAAATGAGCAGGGTTCAGTCACTCTCTTTTTCCTACCTGGGATTTCCTCTCAACGCTGCGTGGTGCAGCGCATTGAAGCCATTGTTGTTCGTCAGTGTGATATCAGAGTTGCAGTCGAGCAAAAGCGACAGAATGTCGTCTCGCTTCTTGGTGATAGCATCGTGCAGCGGCGTGTCACCCTCACAGTCTTGCAGGCTGGAGTGACTGCCCAGTTCGAGCAGCTTCTTCACCACCTGAATATGGCCCTTGTTGACGGCAATGTGCAGCGGCGTCTGTCGTCGTTTGTTTCGGGCATTCAGATCAGCATGTGCCTTCGCCAGGACGGTGATCACCAGTGGCTCATCACCAAAGGCAGCGTGGTGCACCGCTCGGTCGCCGTCCTTGTCTTCGATCTCCACATTAGCCTTGTACTTCATCAGAACGTTGATCACCTCGACGTGACCATTTTGACTGGCTGCCTGAAGGGCGGTGTGTGAGCTGAAAACTCCATTCACATCGACGTCGCCTCGCTTCAGCAGCTCTTCGCACTTTTGCATATCGCCATTAGCTGCCGACTTGACCAGCTCTTGGTTCGGGTCGCCCGAGATGGTTGTCTCAAAGAGCTTCTTCAGCAGCGTGTTCAACCCGTCCGAAGAAGGCCCGTTATCACATGATACCTTTGTCACCGCAGCAGGATTATACGTCCAAGTGTGATTTTCGACCTCGACCTTTAGATCACTGTCCGAGTAGACTTGTAACACCCGCCCCAGTTTGCCGAGCGTGGACACCATTGCCTCGGCGAACTCTCCGTGGCCTCGCTGAAGAATCTTCACCTTCTCAAGATCACTGCAAATGCGCACAATGTCTCCTTCAAAAAATGCTGCTGAACTGGACGTAGAAACGTGGCTGGTGACGGCGCCATTTGAAGCTATTGAGTTGATGTTGATGTTGTTGGAGCCCAAGCCGTCGGTTATGGCGCTTGAGCCTTCCGCCACGGTCACATTGGGATTGTTGCCCACTTTAGTTAGCACTGCAGGATTAAACGTCCACTTGTTGTTGCTCGGATACTGCACCACAATGTCGTGGTCTTCGTCGATCTCAACGACGGTGCCAGTCGTGCCGAGACACTCGAACATGCCGTCAGTCCAGCCTCCATGACCGTGCTGAAGAGACTGCACAATTTCCAAATCAAGGTCGATATTGACGAGGTTGCCCACTTGAAATCCGTGAAATCCGGTGCGACCTGAGTTCTGCTCCCCCAGCAGTGGCAAATGGTCCTTATAGACGGTGTATCCCTTGGCGTCGCTAAACACCTTCAAATCAGCCATGCCTTCAAAGCCAACTCTGTAGAGATTCTTAGAGCCAGTGTCCCAGATGACGTAGGCAGCACTGCGAGGACTAGCCGCACTCCAGTCTTGAATTTCAGTGACTTTGCCCTTCTTGCAATTGCCACCGTCTTGGTCTTCCCACTGCCAGTCGACGCCTACAGTGGAGGTTGCATTAGAAATTGGGGTTCAACAGTGTAGCCAAGTGGAATGTTCTGTTCTTACCTCTAATGACTCTGGCTCCTGGAAAAATGCCTCTGACCGAGATCTTTTTGCCCTTTCGCCTTGATTCAATCAGGACTCGCTCACTTCCTGGGTTGAGTATTCGATGAAATCGATGCCTAATGTTGTGCTTCTCTCCGTGGTAGCACATGGAACACAAGTCGTAGTTGCTACACTCGGCGCACTTCCACCGAATGCCGAAGATGGGCGATTGTCGGCAAAAGTCGCACATGGCCCCTTCGTGTTTGACGCCAGTTGGAGCGCTGTCGACGATGCGAAGATCATAGGCGCCCATACAGCGATAGTTGGCCGCCGTTCCATTGTCCCAAACGACGACAACCTCTTCAGCAGACTCAAAGTTTCGCACCGTTCCCAGGTGCCCTTCTCCACCATCCTAAAACGAATGAGTTTTGTTGATCAAAACAAGAACAGTCCAAGAGCAGTCAGACGTACCTGTTTTCCCCATTTCCAGTCATTTGAGTTCCTCATCACCCTCGCGCCGACGCCCCCATCGGGAATACTATTGCGCACCACTGCATTGGGAATCTGGCGAACATTGGACAGCGTCTGGTAGCTGTCATCGTTCGGGATGCTCATCTCGCCATCGTTCATGTTGAAGAAAGACTGCACTTCCCGCAAAGGAACTGGCGATGGTGAATTCTCCACTTTACCGTCTTTCACATCGATGAGATAAGAAGAAGGAGAAGAAGGAAGTTCAATCCCAGACCAATGAAGGCACAATCGGTACAAAAAGTAGTGCTCCAAGACGCTTGAAGACACAAGAGATCANTTACCGTCTTTCACATCGATGAGATAAGAAGAAGGAGAAGAAGGAAGTTCAATCCCTGACCAATGAAAGCACAATTGGTACAAAACGTAGTGCTCCAAGACACTTGAAAACACAAGAGATCACAACAAGAAGAGACTCACGACGATCAACAACAAAAACAGAGCCCAGTAACTGCCAGTGACTGCAGAGTCGAAACAGCTCGCATCGCCTGGCAGACGCCGCTTGCTCTCGATTCGCAATCACAGTCTCTTGCCAGCCCAGTCTCTGTCCGGACACACAGAGAGCACACTGTCTCTGCTCTCCGCTCAAATGAGGACATCGATAAAGTGCAGTTATAAGCCCCATATAATCAAAAGTCGTTCAATAGCTTTACTTTTCAGTATAAATATATATTTATCATCTTTTATATTTACAGATAGCTTATATACAAAAAGAATTTGTAGCAGTATAAAGAATAAAAAACATCGTCAAGAATAGTTGCAACGGGAAGTGTTGGTGTGTGTGGTGTAAAGGGGGTGGTGGTGGTGGTGGTTCAACCACTGTTATTCCTCATCAGACGTGTAATCTGACTCGGAGTCGGTGTAGAGACTCTCCAGGGAGATCTTCGATTCTTCGCCGCTCCTTTCGAGCAGCAAATTGACGATCTTGTTGGATTTGGATTTAAGGTCATTCGAAGTTTCGTGCTTCAGCGACAGGTTGGCCTTCCACGCGACATGAAGCGCCGTTTGTCCGGAAAACGTCCGCACACTGACGTCGGGATTGCACTTTTTCAGAAGAAAGGTCACTAGTTGCAAGTTGGAATTCTCCGCGGCCCAGTGGAGAATTGTCTTGCCGCATCTGCCTTCCTGTTAAGTACAAACAAAAAAGTGTTAGAAAATTGAGGTACTGTTTATCAATGTCGTTCGTCTGTACCTGAACGTTGACATTGGCACCAGAATGTAAGATCATTTCAAGGGCTTTCAAGTTGTTGTTGTAAGCCGCTAAGTGGACGCATGTGTCGCCTAGGGGAGAATTTTATCATTATAATATGCCTCTTTGTCGACCAACAATCATTTTGACGTACCATCGTAATTTCGCAGCTCAAAGCAATTAGAGCTAAGCAGCGTTTTGTGTGAAGACATTAAAAAGTAACACAGGATGTCCGTCAGTGAGTATTTACACGCAATGTGCAATGGCGTATTTCCCTGACTGTCCTGAAAGGCCATTGAGACGCCTCTCGACACAAGGTCCTTAATGACGGTCATTTGCCTCTTCAGAACAGCCAAGTGCAGCGGCGTCTGCAGAGAGAATGAGAGCAGGCTGGGTTAGAGAATGCGAATCAGACTTGAATTAGCCATTAATTACCTGGTACAAATAGTTGAATGAGTTGAGCAAATCACTAGAGCTGGGGATGTTTTGGATAATCGAGCAGGCAATCTCTTCCATGTCTTCGATGATGGCCAGGTGCAGCAATCTGAAAGAGGGTAAACAGAAACGAATTGTTGGGAACTGTTTTTGACTGAAGCACACTGTCCTCTATGACTTACGTATCACCCTCGCTGTTTTGCTCTTGGAGCCACCGACGAGGCAGATCACTCACTGGCTCAACGGCAGCCTTGCTGCTGGTCTCACTATCAAGTTGACTTGTTTCAAAGTGGTCATCCTCGGTGATACTGAGCCCGGAATCGGTAATGCAGACGCCTGAGTCAGACCACTGTTGGACGTTGGTTTTGCTGTGGGCCTCCTTTGAGGTCTCAGCAGGATGACTCTTGCCCTTGCGACTAGGGTCATCGTTGGCAGCATCGGTTGAGCAATGCATTGACTCAATGTCAGCTTCATCAATGAAGGTTTTACTTTGCACGTTGGAGTTGTAGCCAGAGTCAAAGAGTGCTTCATAGTTGCTGGCATCTTTCAGGTCATCGACGTCGCCGCCGATACTTTTTGCGGATGAGTACATTTCTGATTGTTGGCGCTGTTTGGCAGAGGAAGAGGAGGTATATGGCTGTGACATTGGTCACTGGTTGCAATGGGAAGAAAGAGGGTTGAGTTGAATGGTGGTACGTATAGGTTTGGACACAACGAAGGCGAGATGACAAGTGGCAGAGAGCGGTGTTCGGTGGTGGGAGATGTCTTCTTCTCTGTTTCTTTGGGGCTTCCCGCGGGTAATTACGGCCAAGGAGTAAGGAGAGAGAGAGAGATAAGGACAACAACAACACAGACGGGTAATGCAAACGGGTAATGGCTCGGACAGGTGGAGGAGGTGAAGTGAGAGACGAGCACCGTAAAAGAGTTGAAGGGCTGAAGGTGCTGCTGGTGGCTGTCAGGCGAACTCTGTTGTCTTCTTCTTCTTCAGCAGACTGAACTCAGCTGAGCTGTGTGTTGTGCAGAGTGTCCAAACAAGCGAAAGAGAGAGAGAGAGAGATGTGACCAGCAGGAGTGGCAGCGGCGGAAGAAAACTGAAAATGAGAGCAGAGGTGATGTGGATGAATGGTGCTGCTGGTGAAGCTCGTGCTATTGATGGGTCTGCTGGCTTGTTGGTGAAATGGTAGCTGAAGCTGGCCAACTTACTAATTTCATATAACAGTTGGTGACATGAAAGCTAGCGGAGTAGCAGTGGCTGCCTGGCAGAGTGCTGAGCAGAGTGGCCACCACCACCACCACTGGCGAGGAGTGTGTTGAGGCGAGCAGCACTGGGAAAAACCCGATCGCGATTACGATTCGAGGCTGACGGCGCAGCACTCTCTTGCTCTGTCTGCGTCTGTGGCAGTGTCTGTGAGTGAGTGTGTGGTGTGTGCTTGCAGTGCCTACACAACATTCACACACTGGGAACTACGTTCGCTGTGGGAGCAGAGCAAGGCAATGGCAAGAGGAGAGGAGAGGAAAGAGGAGACGACAGTGCTCGTCGCTGGCCAGCCGAAGACTGACTGACTGACTGAAGAGTGCCTGTCAGGCGGCAGGCGACACTGTCCACGGCGCCAGCAGGAGGAGGAGGAGGAGGGCAGCGAGTTGATGCGCTAATCAATTCGGAGGACGGAACCACCGACGATGAAGGGGGCGCGACGCACTCTGGCGCCACCGCCTGTGTTTGGCCCACTCTTGCAGGCCAGCGAGCGGCAGTGAGCGGCAGTGGGGAGCCAGAAGGAGTACAGAAACTTGATGAGCTCAATTCCTTAGCCTAAACACAGGCACTGCATCACTGGAAATTACGACTGTCACTCTTCACTTCGCATCCTATTTTGGGATTTATAAGGAGATCAGACTGCGATAAGGAGAGGAGAGAGGAGAGGATAAAGGGTAAATGGACAGGACAGAAGGAGAGGAAAGGGGAGGGCAGGGAAGGTCTGCTGACGTTGGTCACTTCACTTCACTTCAGGTGCAAGTGCAGTCTCCCTCTTTCTCCTCCTCCTGCCCACGGTAGTGGTGGTCGACAGGATGCTGATAAACACGGCAGATGATTGCTGTGCGTCTCATCAGATCGATTCTCATCGGAATGAATCAACAGGTGGCTGTGTGGAGGTAGTGCTGGCAATCGGCGTATGACGTGCCAGGACTGCCACTTAACACCCAGACCATCCTGTTGATGGCATCGTCAGAGCACAGAAGCAATGCGATGCTAACGAACTGCAGAAGAACAGGTGTGTGCGTGAGTGAGTGTGATGCGAGGTGACTGATTGCCAGTGGCTGCTGCTGGAAATTTCGCAAACACGCAAGCGGTGGGCAACGGTAAGGCATCGATGGGTCAGCAGCACTGTTCAGTGCACACTGCCTGCCTGCCTGCCTCCTTTCGGCACACCGTTCTTGGCCGCCGATTGCACCATTTGCGTCGGTGATGTCTATCGGACGGTGTCCACTGCAGCCGTGTCTCCAGCTGGTCATGTCTACCGCATTAGGTATACGCTTGAATTACCATAAATTAAAGCCGAGTGCAATGATTGCTGCAGATGAGTGATTGAAAGTAGTTCTTCGGCTGCATCATCTCTTCAGCAGTGACCGGTCACGAGGTGTCCGAGGGAAGTACTGTCACTGTCCTCTGAGGAGCAGTGCAATCAACACCGCCACTAAACGATAACTTTCGGTGCATCTCAGTCTGCAGTGATCGTCGCAGCGTCAAATTCCAAAACATCAAAACACGAAGATCGAAAAAACCAGACGACTTTGTTTTTCACCTAGAGTGGACATTCCCCGGCAACTGACGACAGTCAGTGGCTGAGTGAGAGAGAAAGAGAAAAGNTCAGTCTGCAGTGATCGTCGCAGCGTCAAATTCCAAAACATCAAAACACGAAGATCGAAAAAACCAGACGACTTTGTTTTTCACCTAGAGTGGACATTCCCCGGCAACTGACGACAGTCAGTGGCTGAGTGAGAGAGAAGAAAGAANACCAGACGACTTTGTTTTTCACCTAGAGTGGACATTCCCCGGCAACTGACGACAGTCAGTGGCTGAGTGAGAGAGAAAGAGAAAAGAAAGAGAAAGATGCGAGTACGTGGCCACCATATTGAAAACGTGACTTAACTGACACTGTACGACGCCTTCATTAAATCGCCACCTGTACACCTCCATCCTCAAGGAGTGATAGTGATCGGCGATAGCTAATTGTCCGTCGGCAAAGGTCATTTCTGCGATGAGCTGTCGCTGAGCTGAGCTGATGATGGGGAGATTGAGATCAGAGTGACAAAGTGATCCTGCTGAAGGTGACAGAGTCAGCCAGAGACTGCACTGCCAGTTGACCAACTGTCTTCAGACGTTGCATCAGCAGCCGCAGAATCGTCTGCACGTCTCCTCTCCCTCCTTCCCTTTTCTCCCTTCTTCCCTTCTCTCCCCTGTCTACCTTCCTCCTTTCCGCCACTATTCAGTGGTTGGGCTACTATTAATAGAGCGGCAGTCGCTCCAGCTCAGCTCAGCTCCATCGTTGATCTGTCCTTCTGTGATCGAGTCCGATATCGATCGGATGGACAATCCGAAGCTACAATACTTCCCAGAGCGGCAATCGACAGCTCACCACTGGCTGGTACTCCTTGGCCACTTGCTCTCCCACTCAGCTATCTCCAGCTTTCCCCAGCTGCCTGCCTGCTTTGCCTGGCGCTCTTTGCCTATCACTCTTCTGTCTTCTGTTGCATTGAACTTAGAGCCTAAATTAGTTCTCCGCAAAGTGCACAGTACTCTGCGGTAGTGGTGGTGGTGAGTGTAGTTGGAGAGGAGCAATAGTAGAAGAGACGGCGAGAAGTAGAAATGAAAGAGAAAGAAGTGACGATTGAGAGACGAGGCAAAAACTTGTCGGGATTTTCCATGCAAAAAGTTTACATTGAAAAAAACCTCTGCAGCGCGAGAGCCAGCGGCGGCCGAAGAGGCCACAAGCCAACGGAGAAGCTTCAGAGAAAGAAAGAGAAAGAAAAAGATTGAAAAAGCAGTCGAGGCCTACAGTTTTCAATTGTCCATTTCACCGTTCGACCGATGCAGTCAAAGTCCATCGTCCCCGTTGTCTCACACACTAGTTCACTCAGAGTTCTTTGGTATTGCTGCTACTGCTGTTGATGTTACTTGTTCTCTTTCACCTGCCAGTGATGGGTTTTCTAAGTGCTGAAGAGAGCCTTGGCCCTCTGACGATGCTCATTCCTGAGAGCGTCACGTGGAACGTTGGAACGCCACATAAACATCGATATGCGAGTCGCCCACGGTCCAATTGCCCACTACAGCTGCATCTTCACTGTGATCGACTGATTGTCAGTGGTCGCGTACTTTACGCGTCACTTGCTCTCTCGCTCTCTCTTTTTCTCCCACTCTCGTCGTCACTCTGTCACATTGACGCCTGTACATTCACGTTCATCGGCACGAGCCCTCAAGCAAACCCTACTTCGGCTGAAGCAGTGTCAGCCGAGGGAGCAGAAGGCTCAACATACACTCCGACAGACAGCTGAGAGAGAAAAAGAAGGAGAGAGCGCGAGTAGACGGGGAGAGCAGCAGTATTCCCCAACACTCTGATGGCAATGCTTCAAGTAAAGGAACACAACTGAGCAGCATGCTGAGGCGCGCTTGGGTTTTTACTCGAGATTAACCGAGCCAAGTAATGTCCGAGCGAGCTCTGCTTCCATCTGCTGCTGCTACTGCTGCTCATGCTCATGTCGCTCACATCTCCAGCTCCCACCGCTGAACTTCGAACCAATTCTGAATGGTGCAGCTAAAATGGCACAAATACTTTCGATAAGGAAGCTTCAACATCAGCAACGTCAGTCTCTGTTGCTGAAGTGTACACTGATGTTGATAATAAGTGATGTGCGCAGAGCAGTGCTCTCTATGAGTGTGTGTGCATTGATGATAGAGAGGCACTGTGGTAATCACTGGGCCAGTCCAAGATTGAATGAAAAGTCCGTAGTCGCTGGTCATCATCATTGCTAGGTGCAAGGTGATTAGTGATTAGTCAAGCAGAGGTGGCAATTACCTGGAATTAGCATAGAATGCAGTGAATGTGCAAGTGACGAAAGGCACTGCAAAGATTCAAGTACCGTACAGCAGACAGCTTTTCGTGCCGTACAGTGGCTGTGTGTAAAGTGGGCGACGCAGAACTGGCACCGTGTTAAAGAGACGGTAGACTTTTAAACGTTTTCAGAAAAAAATAAACAAATCAGGGCAGTGGAGACCACAAAATGAGGCAGTCAACAGAGTCTGTTACAGTAGTATCCCATATGCTGCATTGGTTGGTCTATGTGCAGCTATGCCCACCAGCTCTATTCATTGGCGCTACTGAAGTCTTCGTCGATTTCGCGCCAAATTCCAGCGCGCTGCTGTGCCTATTGTTTGCCTGAAACTGCCTTGTCTGCCAGACACCGATCTGCCCTTTAACTCGTCTCTTTAATCGTCTTCCGTGTTTTACGTCGTTCCAAGCGAAACCATCATGGCGGGATATGATAATCTAGGTGTCTTCTTCAGCGAAAACATCCTCAACGATGATGACAACCAACAAGACCAGCAGAATGTCAGCAACTTGACGCATATTCGCAAGCGCTTTAAGGAGTTTTTGCAGAACTATCATACTGGTGACTTTAACTACAAGTACCGTAACCAGATCAAAGAACACTACAACATTGAACAGTACTGGATTGAGGTGTCACTCACCGATGTGGGTGGCTTCGATGAAGCTCTTGCCGACAAGCTCAACAAGTCGCCCATTGAGTACATCAAAATCTTTGAGATGGCTGCTACGGAGCTTGCCGATGAAATCACCCGTCCTCGAGTGGACGAAGCTTCAGTTAAGGCGATTCAGGTAAGATGAACATTATTGATTACAACTGAACAAGTTATTACTGGTTCACTCCCTAGGTGATGCTCAGTTCTGATGCCAATCCGACTTCTCTTCGAGAGGTCAAGTCCGACTTGATCTCACGATTGGTCAAAGTTCCTGGCATTATCATCGCCGCTTCTAACGTGCGTGCCAAGGCCACCAAGATTACCCTTCAGTGTCGTGGTTGCCAAGAGGTGATCAAGGACGTGAACATCAACTCTGGTCTGGAAGGGTACTTGATGCCGCGCAAGTGTAACACCGACCAGACTGGTCGATTGAACAAGTGTCCTCAAGACCCGTTTTTCATCATTCCTGACAAGTGTGAATGTGTTGACTTTCAGACGCTTAAGCTTCAGGAGACGCCTGAATCAGTTCCTCATGGCGAAATGCCGCGACACTTGCAGCTTTTCTGTGACCGTTATCTATGTGACAAAGTGGTTCCTGGCAATCGGGTTACTATTCTTGGCGTCTACTCAATCAAGAAAGTGTCGAAGCCAACCACCAATACGGAATCTAAGGCAAATATCGGTAAGTCAGCTCATTATAAAGATGATCCAATGACCTTTGCTAACTTTTTGGGGTATTTCAGGCATCCGGGCTCCGTACTTGCGTGTCGTGGGCATTTCAGTCGAAACCGAAGGCCCAGGCCGCGCTGGAAATATTCCTTACACAGCCGATGATGAGCAACTGTTCCGCCACTTGGCTAGCTCTCCGAACATTTTTGAGCGCATTGCCAATTCGATTGCTCCCTCTATCTTCGGCTCAACTGACATCAAGAAAGCCATTGCCTGTTTGCTGTTCGGAGGATCTCGCAAGCTGATGCCGGACGGTCTCACTCGTCGTGGTGACATCAATATTCTCTTGCTGGGAGATCCTGGTACTGCTAAAAGTCAGCTGCTCAAGTTTGTTGAAAATGTATCGCCGATTGGCGTGTACACCTCCGGAAAGGGAAGCAGTGCTGCCGGTCTGACTGCTTCTGTCATTCGCGATCCCACATCGCGAAACTTTGTCATGGAAGGAGGTGCCATGGTGCTGGCCGACGGCGGTGTGGTCTGCATTGACGAATTTGATAAGATGCGCGAAGACGATCGAGTGGCCATTCACGAGGCCATGGAGCAGCAGACGATCTCAATCGCCAAGGCAGGCATCACCACAACGCTCAACTCACGATGTGCCGTACTGGCGGCGGCAAACAGTGTCTTTGGTCGATGGGACGACACCAAAGCGGAGCAGAACATTGACTTCATGCCGACTATTCTATCTCGATTTGACATGATCTTCATTGTCAAGGATGAGCACAACGAACGCCGTGATGCGACCATTGCTCGCCACGTCCTCGACGTTCACATGAATGCGCAGAAGACCATCGAGGACTCTGTCGAGGGCGAGCTCAGTTTGGTGTTGCTGAAGAAGTACATTAACTACTGCCGATCGTAAGTCACCTTACCACTGAAGAGTTACTGTGTGTCTCATTAGTCTCTAACTGATCTTTTCCCCTGATTTACCCAGTAAATGCGGACCACGACTGTCTCCGGCCGCTGCTGACAAGCTCAAGCGCCAGTACGTTTTGATGCGCAATGGCAGTCGAGAGCAGGAGGCGGAACACCACGCCAAATCGCCCATTCCAATTACCATTCGACAGCTTGAGGCTATTGTGCGAATTTCTGAATCGCTGGCAAAGATGCAGCTGCAGCCATTTGTCAACGAAACCCACGTCAACGAGGCCATTCGCCTGTTCAAAGTGTCCACTCTGGCAGCCGCCATGTCGGGCGATCTGTCCGGCGCTGAGGGCTTCACCAGCGACGAGGAGCACCAGCAGATGGTTCGCATTGAGAAGCAGATCAAGCGACGCTTTCCCGTCGGCACTCAGATCAGCGAGAACAGCATTGTTCAGGATCTGATGAAGCAGAACTTTAACCAGCCGATAGTGAAGAAGGTCATCTACTGCATGATGCGCAAGGGCGAACTGCAGTCGAGAATGCAGCGAAAGATGCTGTACCGTGTCAAGTAAACGCAGCTATCCAGTTTTCTTAAAAATAGGACAAGACTGCTCTCTCTCCACTTCACTTCACTTTTCACTTTACGCTTTTATTTGTAAACAACCATTTGCCAGCAACAGGAGCAGCAGCACATTTTCCACTCATCTGTCACTCAACTGTAAGCACAGACCCACTTTCTCTTCAAGTATTCGCACCACATCACTAAACTTGTGCCTGTGAATCGTCACTCCCTTGGTGGTGATGATCACCAGCTCTTTAATGCCATTGCCTGTCAGGTCGAGGTAGGCGATGACGTGCAGGGGATTGGCAAACTTCATTCGATTCACCAGGAGGTACTCTTCAGCTTTGGCGTCATACTGATACGCCAAAAAGTCCTAGGGAGTTTTAATTTTTAATTATTATATTTAATCATTTATACCAAGTGCTGTATTTTCTACTTTACCTTTGAGTACTTTCCCAGTAAAATTTCATTCTGTCCATCAAAGTTGATGTCGGCGACAAATGTGGCGAGGAGAATGTCCATTTGATTGGCAATTGGAATGTTTTTGCGGACAGTCATTCCTCCGTGCAGCACATTTCGGTAGACGACCGGGGCTTCGTAAGAGTTGGCCACCAGCAGGTGGATGCTTTCTGTCGGATAGGGTGCTACTCCCTGCAAATGAAGTCGCTCCTTGAGGGACCGCTCCAGTTGATTGCTGCTTTGGTCTGTCAACGATTGTTAAATTTGATAAAGGTAAGACATGGGAGCACCTGGTGCCGAACATACCTCTGAAGAGTCTGACGGAGAGAACGGGCCCATCAAACTGGTGCTTGAAAGAGCGAATGGGCACCGGCGTGGCCGGATCATCGTACTCACTGAGGAAGAGCTCCACCCATCCGTCCTCGGCGCCGATTGCAGTCAGTCGACGACAGTGAGCGGCACTGCCGCCTCCTGCCTGGTGGTCGTTGCTGCTGCTGTCTACGAGGTTGAGCACATCAATCCACAGTGCAATACTTCGCAAGTTCGTCAGCTCGGGAAAGAGATTAATCTTCTCCTCGCTGAAGCACTGGTTACTAACGTCTTCCCGGTAGATGTGCACACAGCAGTCACTTCCTGACAGGAGAAAGACAATCTCACTGGGCTGATCGAGAAAGTGAAGCGTAGTGTGGTACAGGTGAAATGGCACAAATTCCAGCTCAAAGGAACGGCTCAAATCCTCTAAGAACGGATTGGTGTTAGTAACAATCACCACTGTGAGAGCAGAGAGGGTTTGCACTTACGCGCAATTTGGTTGAGATCAAACTTATTGGTGCTGGAGTATATGTTGAAGTAATACTGATTAGAGAGCTGATTGCGCTCTGCGCTCGACAGTGACCGGTTGCTGGACTGACTGATGGCGTTCTTGCGCAGTTCACTTGCCTCCGACTCTTTACTGCTGCTCTTGAAGAAGGTGATTCCGACGACAGTGTCAAAGGTGGATGCACGTTGAAAGGCGTCTATGGAGATTATGTCGGCGCCGTCTGGTTTGGGGAGAGAAAGGCCAAGGTTGATGCAAAAGCATTCTCATTAGCTAATTACTGAGTACTCACTGGGAATGTAGGTAAAGTGGACTTCATTGCAGCTAAACTGCCCATCGCTGTACTCAATGCAGAAGATTTGCTTCTCCAGAGTGGCTACCAGAACACGACTGCGTTCGCCCTTAAGATGGGCAAAGCCGTACACATTGCTGGGAACAGAAATCGGGAAATTGAAAAAGTTTAGCTGTTCCATTAGCTAGTCTACAGATTAAAAAACGCCGAAAAAAAGAAAAAACTTGTTATTGAGAATCAACAAATCAGGAGGTCAAAGCAAAAATTGGCAAACACAAAAAACACACAGTTGCTCAGTTGAATACACAAAAGAGTAAAAACAAAATCAGGAAAAGTAAAGTGGAAGTATCACACAAAATTGATAAGAGCTGAGGAAAAATTTACAGGATTTGGAATTGCAATTAGACAGTGGAAGGCTCTCCAACTCATATAATATTATAATACAGGCAAACTACTGGAATTCAGCCACAACAACTCTTAGGCGGCTTTCTCGGCAAAGGGGTCTTTCCACATCTGCAACGCCTTCATCGCCAGGTATTCACCCTTTCGTGGTCCCATGACAAACTTGGCAGTAAGTGAGCCTCCATAGACGACTCCTGTGTCAAGTCCAGTGGCAAAGGGGTACTCCTGCAGACGACGAGCGGCATCGTGGCCGAAGTATATGTGCACTGGCCCGTTCCATAGGGAAGCCC